GGGTCAACCAAGCCGATGTGCAATGGAAGGTCTCGCCCCAGGCCCTGGCCTTGCGGATCACTGTAAAGCCTGTGCCAGGTAAGTATGCTTTCCCTGGCCGCGGTTTACTCATTTACATCATCCTGGCTTCACCCCACTCGAGGTGTCACCATTTAAACAACGCTTCACATATATTCCGGCGGCGGTTTCTTGTTCATACTGAGCATGTACAGGACACTACATTTGGCACATTCACTTTATGAAAAAATACTGATAGAAAACCACAGAACGGGGTTTATTTACATTTAAGCTGTATAAACGCTCTCCTCGTGTGTCAGGACGCAGGGAGACAACTTGACAGTCAAAGAAACACAACTGGCTCTCAATGGGATCCCATCTGCGAAATATATTCGAATCAGAGTTGAATGAAATAGATTCTTTGCTTAAGTATATGGCAACACATACATACATTCAAGGTATAGAGAGCATAGCCTCCCTGGAAAAACAATCATCTGAAAGTGACTTTGGAGAGAAAAGTTTGGAAGTCATTCTATTTTTGGTTTGTTTTTAAAGGAGGCACGGGCATGATCCCCACATATATAAATTGCGCACCCGGAGTCATTACACATTGCAGGACGATCGCAGGGAGTCAATGAAACCGATGTGCAATGGAAGGTCTCGCCCAGATTTTGTACTTACGGATCGCACAAACCTGTACTTGGGTAAGTGTCTTTTTCCCTGGCCGCGGTTTTTTCATTTACATCATCCTGGCTTCACCCACTCGGGTGTCTGTTAAACAACGCTTCACATATATTCCATGACAGGTTTCGCTGTTCATACTATTGTTTAATGTACAGGACACTACATTAGCACATCTTACCTTTATGAAAAAAAATACTGATAGAGAAACCACACAGAACCGGGGGACATTTACACATTTAAGCTGTATAAACGCTCTCCTCATGTGTCCAGGGGCTGCGGGAGACAACTTGACGAATCAAAACACAACTGGCTCTCAATGGGATCCCATCTGAAATATATTCAAGTCAAGAGTTGAATAGAAATAAGATTCTTTTGCTTAAGTATATGGCTGACACATACATTCAAGGTATAGAGGCATGAAAACCTCCCTGGAAAAACAATCATCTGAAAGTGACTTTGGGGAAAAGTTTGGAAGTAAAATTTCTATTTTGGTTTGTTTTAAAGGGGAGGCAGAGCCGCAGTCCCCACTTATAAATTACGCACCCGGAGTCGTCCACATTTTGGGACGATCCCCGCGAAGTCAACCAAACCGATGTGCAAATGGAAGGTCACCGCCCGGGGCCAGCCTTACGGATCATAGCCAAAGCCTGTGCCAGGTAAGTATGCTTTTCCCTGGCCGCGGTTTTCATTACATCATCCACAGCATGGCTTCACCCGCTCCACAGATTGTCCTGTTAAACAACCTTCACATATATTCCATGACGGGTTTCTTGTTCACCATACTGTTTAATGTACAGGACACTACATTAGCACATTCACTTTTATGAAAAAATACTGATGAAAACCACACAGAACAGGGTTTGTTGTACATTTAAGCTTCTTATAAACTGCTCTCTCCTCATGTCCGGGACGCAGGGGAGACAACTTGACAGTCAAAACACAACTGGCTCTCAATGGGATCCATCACACGAAATATATTCAAAATTCAGGATTGGATGAAATAAGATTCTTTTTGTAGTATGGCGAGCAGCACATTCAAGAGGTATAGGCATTGAAAACCTCCCTGGAAAAACAATCATCTGAAAGTGACTTTTGGAGGGAAAAGTTTGGAAATTTCTATTTTGGTTTGTTTTCAAAGGGAGCGCGAACGCAGTCCCCACACTTATAAATTGCGCACCCAGGTCGTCCACATTTGGGACGATCGCGAAGATCCAACCAAATGATATTACGAAATGAAGGTCTCGCTTTGACCCACAGCCTTGCGGATCTGTAAAATAGCCTGTGCCAGGTGGTACTTTCCTGGCCGCAGTTTTCTCATTTACATCATCCTGGCTTCACCCCTTAAGGTGTCTGTTAAAGCAGCACATATGTTCGCGACAGGTTTCTTGTTCATACTTTGTTTAATGTAGGACACTACATTAGCACATTGACTACTTTATGAAAAAAATACTGATAGAGAAAACCACACACACAGACGGGGTTTATTTACATTTAAGCTGTATAAACGCTCTCACTCATGTCGGGACGCAGGGGAACAACTTGACGATCAAAACACAACTGGCTCTCAATGGGGATCCCCATCTATGAAATATATATTCAAGTCAGAGTTGAATAGAAACAGGATTCTTTTGCTTAAGCATATAGCTTGGACAGCCAGCCACATTCAAGGTATAGAGAGCATTTAAGCAACCCTCCCTTGGAAAACAATCATCTGGAGAAGTGACTTTGAGAGGGGAAATTTTGGAAGTAAAATTTCTATTTTTGGTTTGTTTTTAAAGGAGAGCGCTAAGGCAGTCCCCCACACTTATAATTGTGCACCTGAGTCGTGACAGTCCTATCATGATCACTGTAAAAGCCCAAAGCAGGTGGGGCATGCTTTCCCCGGTCAAAGTTTCTATTTACATCATCCTGGCTTCACCTCAATTTCGGTGTCTGTTAAATAACGCTTCAGCATATATTCCATGACAGGTTTCTTTGTTCATACTGTTTAATGTATGGTATACTACATTAGCATATTCACTTTATGAAAAAATACTGATAGGAGAGAAACCACACAGAACGGGGTTTATTTACATTTAAGCTGTATAAACGCTCTCCCTCATGTCCGGGACGCAGGGGAGACAACTTGACAGTCAAAACACAACTGGCTCTCAATGGATCCCATCTGGAAATATATTCAAGTCAGAGTTGAATGAAATAGATTCTTTGCTTAAGTATATAGCTTGACACATACACATTCAAGGTATAGAGCATGAAAACCTCCCTGGATCTGAAAGTGACTTTGAGAGGGAAAAGTTTGGAAGTAAAATTTCTATTTTTGGTTTGTTTTAAAGGGAGAGCGCGAACGCAGTCCCCACACTTATAAATTGCGCACCCGAGTCGTCCACATTTGGGACGATCGCAGGGGTCAACCAAGCCGATGTGCAATGGAAGGTCTCTCGCCCCGGGCCCACAGCCTTGCGGATCACTGTAAAGCCTGTGCCAGGTAAGTATGCTTTTCCCTGGCCGCAGTTTTCATTTACATCATCCTGGCTTCACCCCACTCGGGTGTCTGTTAAACAACGCTTCACATATATTCCATGACAGGTTTCTTGTTCATACTGTTTAATGTACAGGACACTACATTAGCACATTCACTTTATGAAAAAAATACTGATAGAGAAAACCACACAGAACGGGGTTTATTTACATTTAAGCTGTATAAACGCTCTCCTCATGTCCGGGACGCAGGGGAGACAACTTGACAGTCAAAACACAACTGGCTCTCAATAGAGCATGAAAACCTCCCTGGAAAACAATCATCTGAAAGTGACTTTGAGAGGGGAAAAGTTTGGAAGTAAAATTTCTATTTTTGGTTTGTTTTTAAAGGGGAGAGCGCGAACGCAGTCCCCCACACTTATAAATTGCGCACCCGAGTCGTCCACATTTGGGACGATCGCAGGGGTCAACCAAGCCGATGTGCAATGGAAAGGTCTCGCCCCGGGCCCACAGCCTTGCGGATCACTGTAAAGCCTGTGCCAGGTAAGTATGCTTTTCCCTGGCCGCAGTTTTCATTTACATCATCCTGGCTTCACCCCACTCGGGTGTCTGTTAAACAACGCTTCACATATATTCCATGACAGGTTTCTTGTTCATACTGTTTAATGTACAGGACACTACATTAGCACATTCACTTATGAAAAAAAATACTGATAGAGAAAACCACACAGAACGGGGTTTATTTACATTTAAGCTGTATAAACGCTCTCCTCATGTCCGGGACGCAGGGGAGACAACTTGACAGTCAAAACACAACTGGCTCTCAATGGGATCCCATCTGAAATATATTCAAGTCAGAGTTGAATGAAATAGATTCTTTTGCTTAAGTATATAGCTTGACACATACACATTCAAGGTATAGAGCATGAAAACCTCCCTGGAAAACAATCATCTGAAAGTGACTTTGAGAGGGGAAAAGTTTGGAAGTAAAATTTCTATTTTTGGTTTGTTTTTAAAGGGGAGAGCGCGAACGCAGTCCCCCACACTTATAAATTGCGCACCCGAGTCGTCCACATTTGGGACGATCGCAGGGGTCAACCAAGCCGATGTGCAATGGAAAGGTCTCGCCCCGGGCCCACAGCCTTGCGGATCACTGTAAAGCCTGTGCCAGGTAAGTATGCTTTTCCCTGGCCGCAGTTTTCATTTACATCATCCTGGCTTCACCCCACTCGGGTGTCTGTTAAACAACGCTTCACATATATTCCATGACAGGTTTCTTGTTCATACTGTTTAATGTACAGGACACTACATTAGCACATTCACTTTATGAAAAAAATACTGATAGAGAAAACCACACAGAACGGGGTTTATTTACATTTAAGCTGTATAAACGCTCTCCTCATGTCCGGGACGCAGGGGAGACAACTTGACAGTCAAAACACAACTGGCTCTCAATGGGATCCCATCTGAAATATATTCAAGTCAGAGTTGAATGAAATAGATTCTTTGCTTAAGTATATAGCTTGACACATACACATTCAAGGTATAGAGCATGAAAACCTCCCTGGAAAAACAATCATCTGAAAGTGACTTTGAGAGGGAAAAGTTTGGAAGTAAAATTTCTATTTTTGGTTTGTTTTTAAAGGGGAGAGCGCGAACGCAGTCCCCCACACTTATAAATTGCGCACCCGAGTCGTCCACATTTGGGACGATCGCAGGGGTCAACCAAGCCGATGTGCAATGGAAAGGTCTCGCCCCGGGCCCACAGCCTTGCGGATCACTGTAAAGCCTGTGCCAGGTAAGTATGCTTTTCCCTGGCCGCAGTTTTCATTTACATCATCCTGGCTTCACCCCACTCGGGTGTCTGTTAAACAACGCTTCACATATATTCCATGACAGGTTTCTTGTTCATACTGTTTAATGTACAGGACACTACATTAGCACATTCACTTTATGAAAAAAATACTGATAGAGAAAACCACACAGAACGGGGTTTATTTACATTTAAGCTGTATAAACGCTCTCCTCATGTCCGGGACGCAGGGGAGACAACTTGACAGTCAAAACACAACTGGCTCTCAATGGGATCCCATCTGAAATATATTCAAGTCAGAGTTGAATGAAATAGATTCTTTTGCTTAAGTATATAGCTTGACACATACACATTCAAGGTATAGAGCATGAAAACCTCCCTGGAAAAACAATCATCTGAAAGTGACTTTGAGAGGGGAAAAGTTTGGAAGTAAAATTTCTATTTTGGTTTGTTTTAAAGGGAGAGCGCGAACGCAGTCCCCCACACTTATAAATTGCGCACCCGAGTCGTCCACATTTGGGACGATCGCAGGGTCAACCAAGCCGATGTGCAATGGAAAGGTCTCGCCCTGGGCCCACAGCCTTGCGGATCACTGTAAAGCCTGTGCCAGGTAAGTATGCTTTTCCCTGGCCGCAGTTTTCATTTACATCATCCTGGCTTCACCCCACTCGGGTGTCTGTTAAACAACGCTTCACATATATTCCATGACAGGTTTCTTGTTCATACTGTTTAATGTACAGGACACTACATTAGCACATTCACTTTATGAAAAAATACTGATAGAGAAAACCACACAGAACGGGGTTTATTTACATTTAAGCTGTATAAACGCTCTCCTCATGTCCGGGACGCAGGGGAGACAACTTGACAGTCAAAACACAACTGGCTCTCAATGGGATCCCATCTGAAATATATTCAAGTCAGAGTTGAATGAAATAGATTCTTTTGCTTAAGTATATAGCTTGACACATACACATTCAAGGTATAGAGCATGAAAACCTCCCTGGAAAAACAATCATCTGAAAGTGACTTTGAGAGGGGAAAAGTTTGGAAGTAAAATTTCTATTTTGGTTTGTTTTAAAGGGGAGAGCGCGAACGCAGTCCCCCACACTTATAAATTGCGCACCCGAGTCGTCCACATTTGGGACGATCGCAGGGGTCAACCAAGCCGATGTGCAATGGAAAGGTCTCGCCCCGGGCCCACAGCCTTGCGGATCACTGTAAAGCCTGTGCCAGGTAAGTATGCTTTTCCCTGGCCGCAGTTTTCATTTACATCATCCTGGCTTCACCCCACTCGGGTGTCTGTTAAACAACGCTTCACATATATTCCATGACAGGTTTCTTGTTCATACTGTTTAATGTACAGGACACTACATTAGCACATTCACTTTATGAAAAAAAATACTGATAGAGAAAACCACACAGAACGGGGTTTATTTACATTTAAGCTGTATAAACGCTCTCCTCATGTCCGGGACGCAGGGGAGACAACTTGACAGTCAAAACACAACTGGCTCTCAATGGGATCCCATCTGAAATATATTCAAGTCAGAGTTGAATGAAATAGATTCTTTTGCTTAAGTATATAGCTTGACACATACACATTCAAGGTATAGAGCTTGAAAACCTCCCTGGAAAAACAATCATCTGAAAGTGACTTTGAGAGGGGAAAAGTTTGGAAGTAAAATTTCTATTTTTGGTTTGTTTTTAAAGGGGAGAGCGCGAACGCAGTCCCCCACACTTATAAATTGCGCACCCGAGTCGTCCACATTTGGGACGATCGCAGGGGTCAACCAAGCCGATGTGCAATGGAAAGGTCTCGCCCCGGGCCCACAGCCTTGCGGATCACTGTAAAGCCTGTGCCAGGTAAGTATGCTTTTCCCTGGCCGCAGTTTTCATTTACATCATCCTGGCTTCACCCCACTCGGGTGTCTGTTAAACAACGCTTCACATATATTCCATGACAGGTTTCTTGTTCATACTGTTTAATGTACAGGACACTAC